AAGCAGGGAGCCCGATGCGGGACTCGATCCCGGGACTCCAGGATCATGACCTGAGCCGAAGGCAGTCGCTTAACCAACTGAGCCACCCAGGCGCCCCTTGTATCTCTTATTGTACATGATCTATTTTAGCACTTTTTATTAGATTGAAGCTATTTCTGTATATGCTTTTCTCCCCTACTCTCTTGTAAGCTCTTCCAGGGCAAGGATTAGGTCTCATTTCTTTTTGTACTCCCAGAACCTAGCACAATACCTAGGGCTTGATAAACCTTTGTTGAACTGAACAGAGCTGAATGTGATTTGTATGAGCTATGTCCAAGTACTTTTTAATATCCTACATATATTTATCAAGAAAGAGAAAAAGGAATGGCTAGACTGATCACTAGCTTTAAATATTTGAAAAGCTGAACACAAAATTTTAAAAAGTTCTAGAAAAAGAATGTCCTAGAAAGGATTCCTGCATCTGGTGGAAGGTAAATCATCAATTCTCTCAACTCTAAGTATGTTGATGTGCTTGTTTGCTTTATATTATTATAATCTTTTTTAAGTAAAAGTGACTTAAGGTCCCTGGGTGGTGTTGTCAGTTAAGTGACCAACTCTTGGTTTCTGCTCAGGTCATGATCTCATGGGTTGTGAGATTGAGCCCCATGGAGATTCCCTCTCCCTCTGCCCCTACCCCCACATGTGTGTGCACTATCCCTCAGTCCCTCCCTTTCTCTCTCTCTCTCTCAAATAAATGTCTTTAAAAAAAGAAGAAAAATTGACTTAGAGACAGTCACAGTAATTTTTTTTTTTTTAAAGATTTTATTTATTTATTTGACAGAGAAAGAGACAGCAAGAGAGGGAACACAAGCAGGGGGAGTGGGACAGGGAGAAGCAGGCCCCCCGCGGAGCAGGGAGCCCAATGTGGGGCTCAATCCTAGGACCTTGGGATCATGACCTGAGCCAAAGGCAGACACTTAACGACTGAGCCACCCAGGTGCCCCTGGAGCCTACTTTTTAAAAAATGGTTGACTCTGTGACATTCTAGAAAAGATAAAACTATGGAGACAGTGAAAAGACCAGTGGTTTCCAGGGGCTAGAGGGGAAGGAGAAATGAATAGGCAGAGCACAGAGGATGTTGGTGGCAATGAAACTATTGTTTATGATACTTTACTAGTGGATACACGTCATTATTCATTTGTCAAAACCCATAGAATGTACAGCATCAAAAGCGAACTCCAAACTGTGGACTTTGGGTAATAATGATATGTCAGTGTAGGTTCATTGACTGTAATAAATGTACCACTCTAGTGGAGAACGTTGATAGTGGTGGAGGCTGTGCATGTTTGGGGTTAGGGAAGATGTGGAAACTCTCCATACTTTCTGCTCAGTGTTGCTGTGAACTTAAAACTGCTCTTAAAAAGAAAGTTTATTAAAAAAAATTAAAGGGGCACCTGGATGGCTTAGTCGGTTAAGTGTCAGACTCTTGGCTTTGGCCCACGTCATGATCTCAGAGTTGTGAGACTGAGCCTCACATCCAGCTCTGTGCTGAGTGTAGAGCCTGCTTAAGATGCTTTCTCTCACTCCCTCTTCCTCTACCCCTTCCCCCCCCACCAAAAAAAATTAAGAAAGAAACAAACTCAGAGGAAAAGAGGAAACAGAGATAATACAGAGACCAGATGAAAACTTAAAAAAAAAACAACTTTATTTAATAGCTTCAGAGAACTAAAAGAAGATATTGCATTTTTGAAACAGAGGAAATTATTAAAAGGTTATAATAAGAGAATATAAGAGTCCTAGAAATTAAAAATAAAATTCAAGATTGGTAGTTGTGTTGAAAGAGTTAAGGAAATTTTTTAGGCAGGGAGGTGAGGGGAAGACAAGGAGCTTAGAATAAGAGAGGAAAGATACAAAATAGAGGTCCAGTCCAGGAGGTTCAACGTGCAAATAATTGGAATTCCATAAAGAGAAGAGAAAAAATGTAATGGTAGGAAATTATCAACAAAATAATAGAAAGAAAGTTTGTGTAACTGAAGGAAATTAGTTTCCAGGTTGAAAGGATTCTTCTTAGTATCCTATAATAATTGCAAAATAATTCATACAAACACACATCATTGTGAAAAATCAGAAACCCCAGAGAATATCCTAAAAGCTTTCAGAGAGGAGAAACAAAATTCTCATACAATGAATCAAGAACTATAATAGCAAATGACTTCCCAGGAAATACTTTAAATAAGAAGACTATAAAACAATACCTTCAAAATTTAGGGGGGGGGGATGATTTCAGTATAGGAATTCTATACCCAGCAAAACTATCATGTAACTATGCTGCTGGAATAATAACATTTTCATACATTCAAAGACTCAAAAAATTATTTCCTATGCACTCCTACTTAATGAGCAGTGGAGGATGCCATTTACCAAAGTTATGTACTATCGAAGAAATAGGGAATTTAGCACAGGAGAGAAGTAAAGGGAATTCCCAGGACAACTGAGCAGCTGATCTAAAAGCCACCTCCAGATTGGAGTAGCTTTTGCTTTTGCTTTTTTTTTTTTTTTTTTTTTTTAAGTAGGCTCTGTGGCAGGGCTTGAACTCACAATCCTGAAATCAAGATCTGAGCTGAGATCAAGAGTCAGATGCTTAACTGATTGAGCTACCCAGCCCCCAGCCCCGCCCCCAAGTACTTTGTTTTTTGTTTTGTTTTGTTTTGTTTTTCACAAAGGCACAGTCATCTTTCCAGGCTGTGCTTGCCTTCAAGATATGTGTTCATGATGACCCTTTTCTTTGTCTTTTTCCTGAAAGGAAAGCCTTTCTCATTTGTCTGGCTCTAATTTGCACTAACAGTACCTGAGTAAGTCAGCAGTGAGGCCTGGTTGTCACAAAAGTCTAAGAATCAAATACTGGAAGATTGAAACAAAGTATTAACAAGGGAAATGAAAGAAATGGATTAGGGAATATGGAGGTTAAGGGAGTTAGAATTGAGAGGAGCTGATGTCTGAATATGGTGAATAAGAGAGAAGGACATGTCTACGGGTATCTCCCAGATTTCTGTTATGAAACACTGGACTAATGATAGTGTCATTAAATGGAGATAAGGACATAGCAGGAAGCATTGATTCAAAGTAAAAATGAGTTCAGCTTTGGATAGGGAGATTTGAAGAATAGTTGACTCTTGAACAGCACAGTTTTGAACTGTGTAGATCCACTTATATATGGATTTTTTTTTGATAAGTACAGTATGGAAAATGTATTTTGTCTTCTTGATGAATTTCTAATAACATTTTCATTTCTGTAGTTTCCTTTATAAGAAGCCAGTATAGGGGCGCCTGGGTGGCTCAGTCGTTAAGCGTCTGCCTTCAGCTCAGGTCATGATCCCAGAGTCTTGGGATTGAGCCCCTCATTGGGCTCCCTGCTCCGCGGGGAGCCTGCTTCTCCCTGTTGCTCTGCCTCTGCTTGTGTTCCCTCTCTCACTGTGTCTTTCTCTGTCAAATAAATAAATAAAATCTTAAAAAAAAAAAAAGCAGCTAGCATATAATGTATATAACATACAAAATATGTGTTAATTGACTGTTATCAGTAGGGCTTCTGGTCAACAGTAAGCTCTTAGTAATTAAGTTTCTAAGGAGTCAAAAGTTATACGCAGATTTTTGACTGCATCGGGTTGGCACCCTAGCCCCTGTTGCTCGAGGGTCAACTGTATATCTAGATGGACAGGTCCTAGAACTGAAGCCCAGGGTAGAGGTTCATTCATTTATTCAATACTCTTTTTTTATCTGTTGGGAATACAGAGATAAGTAAGACTTCCTTCCTGAAAAAGTTCATAGTCTAATTGGGGAGACAAATATGTAAGTAAAAAAAATTATAATGGCAGTGTGATGATTGTAGCTATTTGAATATGGGCTAGATATAGTGATAGCCCAAAAGAGGGAGTGATTTGCCTTGTCTGGGTTGGAGGTTGAGGGTCAGTAAATATTCCTGAGGACTGAGCCGAAAAGGAATTTGACTAGGAGACAAGGGAAGAGAGAATATGGCATATAGAAAAGTATGTACTATATATGTTATTCAAGATACCAAAAATAGTTTACTATTTGTGCATGAGTTACAAAAGAGAAAACAAAACTGAAGAGATAGACAAGTATCATCTAAGGAATTTGGAGTTTTTGCTGAACCAGTGAGAAGCAACTGAGGTGGTTGAAAAGAGTCAAAGAAGATACTGGGATTCACCACTTGCTGCTTCCAAAGAGAATTTTGGTCCTTCCTAGAGCCCACTGAGAAAAAGAGCATAGCCCCTAACTTCCTCTTCCTAAAGTAAGGTTATAGTTCTTTTATTAGGATTTTAATTGTTAACAGTGCTGAGGAAATAAATGAGTAAAATATATCCTTTGTGCTCACCATTTTGGTTTTTTTTTTACATAAGCCCTTTAGAGCAGTGGTTCTCAACACTGTCCATTGCAGCACCCTTCTTATTTATTTATTTATTTAATATTTGAGAGAGAGAGAACGAGCATGACCTGAGGGAGGGGCAGAGGCAGAGGGAGAAGCAGACTCCCTGCTGAGTGGGGAGCTGATGTGGGGCTCCATCGCAGGACTCTGGGATCATGACCTGAGTGGAAGGCAGATGCTTAACTGACTGAATCATCCAGGTGCCTCCATTGCAACACCCTTCTTAAAAAAATTCTTAGTGCTCCATTTACTATCTGAAATGAAATTCCTATAGGTATCATAACCCACCTGTGTGGGCTGATTATTTTGTAACTCTAATAAGCTTAAATTTTTATTTTTGTTCCATGGACTTCAGAGAGCATCCCTTGACTCTACTATGTGATATATTAGTGTCCCTATCCTTTCTCTCACCTGTCCTCTCCCTATTTCCCATACTTCCCATATTTCCCTGCTGCACCTTTATATTGTCAAGATTGGCAGTATTTACTTTCTGTTTTGTAATCATATGTAAGTCATTCACATTTTATCTGTAAGTTGAGTCTAAAAGTTGAAAACTAATGAATAGCATTTATAGGGTAAGATTATGTAAATGTTCACAGCAGAGCCAAGCAGTATATTGGGATCCTAGAACTTTCTCTACACATGCAATATCACAACCTCTGTGCCACTTGAAAGGAGAATGTTTCTAGTATTCTAGTATTCTATTTTCTTTTCCTTCATCGAATTCTCTAGAATCATGCCGCATTTAGTGGGTAAACTGACATTTAATTACATATTGAGAAAGGTCAGAAGTAGTGATACAGTTACATAGTAGACGATAAATGAATGACCTGCATGACACTATTAGGGAGAAAAAAGGTGAGAGGAAAATGATGGAAAGCACAAGAAAGAGAAGAATTTCAAAATAATAAGGGTGCATTCCAAATGGCCAACTTTCTGAGAATTGAACTGTTTTTGAATAACTTATGTCCCTCAGTTCAGATCCAAAGATAATATTGCTGCTGCTGAAACTTGGGCTTTGTACTGTAACCAGAGTTTATTAATTGTCCTGTTTCATTGAGGAAAAAATACAAAGCAGACGGAACACTGGAGTAACTAGCTGGAAGTATTCCACAACTTTATGGGAAGCAGCTTTCCAAATGATTCGTGTAGAGCCAAACTCTTGGTCTCGCCAAAATAGCACTATCGTGTGCCTTGATGGTACGTTAAAGAAGAAATTTTCCCCCAATTTACTTGTTAAGATTTACAGCCTTTCTGCCTCCTGAAAACATAGCATTGATTTCTTTAATATCAAAAAATCATTTCCTAAAATAGATTGCTAACGACTGCTTTCAGTTATTTATTTAAGGAGAATTGTGCCAAGTACTGCTTGTATGGTTTCCTGTAAAAGACTGAATTAATTTTATAATTTTCATAACTAATGTTATTCCTATTCTGTAGGAATATGCTTCTAATGTGACTGGTCATTACCACATCTTATTTTGAGATCTCTCAAAACATTTTCACTTTATAAATAAGATATTAAAACATTGATCATATGAAAGAGCAGAAAAATATCCCTTATTAGGAGACCAAATGATACTTTTCTAAACAAGAGATTAAAAGTTGCAGCTTAAATCAACCCCATCCGATATTTGGTGGAGGAAATAGAACTATACAAGGAGTATGGTTTTTAAAGTTCCACCAGCCCATTATGGTCATTGTAGAATATTTGAATGCCCCCCAAAAAAGGAAGACAAAGAAGACTACATGATCATTGTTACCAGTTTATAGTTCATCCCACTCTTTTTACGTTTTTAATTTATGGATCATATTCAAATCAATTTTTTCTTTCAATATTGACATTTTTCATGTTATCATTAACATAGTTTTTAATGGCTACCTATTAATGTATCAGGTATACCTACTATAATATACTTAACCACTTTACCATTGTTGAACATTTAGGTGGTTTGTGGTGGGGTTTTTTTTTTTTTTTTTTCCAGTGTAAATTATGTATGATAATCTTTGCATATAATGTTTTGTGATTTTAGTCTTATTTCCTAAGATGCAAGCTTCTAGGGGTAAAATGTTATAAATATATATTTTTTAATTTATTTATTTGAGAGAGAGAGAGAGGGAATGAGTCAGCTGGGGGAGGGGCAGGGAGAAGGACAAGCAGACTCCATGCTGAGCGGCAGCTTGGAGCCTGGCAAGGGGCTTGATCTCAGAACCCTGAGATCATGACCTGAGCCAAAATCAAGAGTCGGCCGCCTAATCAACGGAGCCACCCAAGCGCCCCCAAATGTTAAAAATATTTTAAAGACTCATTGTTCAAACTGTATTCCAAACATCATACCAGTTTACACTATTACTAGCATCTTAACTGCCCAAATGATAGAACAGAACTTTAAAAATATTTCACTAGGGTTGTTTGGGTTTATATGTTGAGATGGTCCAGAAAACCATTAAAAATTAGAATATGTAGAGATAAAGCATTTGGCTGACTGTGTACATATTTTAGTAAAGCCTCAATGTTAAGCCAGAAGCCATTATTCATACTCATGATGTCTTAGACATGGGAAAATGCTTCTAATTTTTGCAACATAAAAGAAGTATGATGACAGCGACAAAACTGAATGGCGAGCCAGACGTGCTGATTTGGGAGATAGAGTGCAAGTTTGAAATTGCTAAAATGTACGCCACTACTGTCAGAAGTTGCAAGTACATTTATCTTTATTAAGCTATTAGTTTGATTATATTTTCTGTGATAATAAAGGTTGTGTTGTAATATAAAAATTAATAAATGTTTAATTTATTTAGGTAATTGAAATACCAATTCTTTTTGGAATCCTTCAGTATTATGACTTTTGCTTATGGGAAATTTATTAGCTTTTCATGTTTACTAAATATAAATCTATACTTGTTTTCTGCTGTTCAAAAATAAAGCAAACCTTAGTTAAATTTTTGGATCAGTATCATCTTAATAACTTGCTTATTGACGGAGAACCTCTACATAAGTCATTTTAAAAGCAAGTTATTCAGTATATTCCAATTTGTGACACTGAAAAGCCTCCTTGCTTTAAGTTCTTGGAAGGAAAGTTTTTTTTTAAGAAAGAACAGATAGGGGCGCCTGGGTGACTCAGTCGGCTAAGCATCTGCCTTCGGTTCAGGTCATGATCCCAGGGTCCTGGGATTGAGTCCCACATCGGGCTCCCCGCTCAGCGGAGAGTCTGCTTCTCCCTCTCCCTCTGCCTGCCACTTCCCTTGCTTGTGCTCTCTCTTTCTCTCTGGCAAATAAATAAAATCTTAAAAAAAAACCAGATAATAATTTTAGCTCTAATATTAAAGAGGGGTGCTAAAATTGAACAATGATGTTCCTTTAATCTCATGCTTTAGTGTCAGATCAGAGACATTCTGGCAACTTGGTTCACATACACATAATATTCAGCAAACTTACCTTCTCAGTGTCAAATTATATAGAAGCTAACATTTAGACAATTTTTTTGGTTTAATATATATACCAAGGCTTTGGAATGTCAAATTTAAGGAATTGTGCCCCTATATAATATTATCAATTATGTTTAGAAAATTAAATTAGTAAAGATTTATTGATTAAAATAATTATTAATTTTTGTGATGACATTCACTTTAGAATGTGTATATTTGGAAAAAAGAGTTTTGGCATTTCACAAAGGAGGAAAAAATTCCAGTTCTTCATTTTGTAACTCTGTTTTTTAATTTTTATGTTCTAAAATATATCCAGAATCTACCCCTGTAAGATTATTGTAGAAGTCTTTCATTGTTAAAGTATAAAGGTTCCTACTTATAATCAAATTATATATCCCAAAATCAAAACTAAATTGTCTTTGTTCACTGTGTTTAGCAGTATATAAATACACTTAAAAAAAATACCTGTGTCATCCATCAACTCTGATAATAGATTAAAGTTAATAATTTAAATTTTGCAATTAAAAATGCTAAAATTTTTGTTCTTAATTAGTATTTTAGTAATTTTATATTTTCAACATTTCAGTTTTCTTTCCAACTTTGTAGGTGTAACATGTAAAGGCCATAAACGGTTTTTAAATGCTTAACTTTACAAACCTGGTAGTCTTTGTATATAAAAGTACAGAGGAGATTTTTGTTAAGTTAGTGATAATTTAAAGAAAACCCATGTATTTCTTGAGAGAATATATTAAAACTTGCTTTAAAAAATGATGAACCGTATCTTGGACTCAATAGGAAAAGTGTGTTGCTGTACCAAGCCTTAGCATCTGCTAGTCTGCTGCTTTTTAGTGTAAGTACTGTAAGGTTAAGCACTTTTCAGACTATAGGATTACATAAATGTTTTTACTTCTCATTTTTACTGGTGGTGTCATTAGTTAGAACATGAAGCTATACAGGCTAAGGACAAATTGGGTTCTTTTATGAGCCATTTAATTTTCATCTTTTCTGTGCCTGCATTTCTTAAATATCTGGAATAAAAATGTAATTCCATACTCATGATGAAAAAAGAAAGTGTATGCCCTACTAATTATGAGGTAAGGAAAAATGAATGTCTCTGAAAGTATGATACAGCTTTCATACTTTATCTACCTTTATATATGCAGTTTTCAGAGACTATTGCCAGTGAAAGCTTGCTTTTAGATAGTGTAGTATGCAAGTACTGTTGAGGGAGAAGTAGGGTTGTTCTTGAGTGATCAGTGCATTTGAACTACTGTACTGCAGGCTGGGTGGTAAGTAGATAACCTTGCAATTTGCTAAGCTCTACTTATTGTACGACTCTATCCTTACAGACCGTAAGTCTCCAAAAGTTTCCCCCAGCAGTGGTTACTTCTGCTCTAAATTTAATGTGACCATCCAATAGCTATACGATAGTAGCAGAATAGCTTTCTTACCTTTAGGACTTGGCACACAAATAGTTTTGTGTAAAAGTAAAAATTATAATCTCTCTTAACAGCTGTGACATCTTATGAAGATCTTGGACTCTTTGCATTTGGATTACCCGGAAAGGTAAAATTTTTTTTTTTCTCCTTACTGTCTCCAAAATCCAGAGACATTTTTTTTCCTTCCATTTCTAGTTAAAAGAGACAGGTATATCTAAGAGAAAGAAATTAGGGGATTAAAAGGAAACTAAAGTGAAGAAAGACAGAATGATGGGAACAGGAAGACAAAGAGAAGAAATCTCTCTATATGCCCTTCTGGAAAATGCATCAATAAATTTAATTCGACACTTAAATATATTAGTATTTTTCACCCTAATGAAGGAGAGCAGTGACTTGAACAATTTTAAAGCTGTAACAATGGCCTGTTTTAAGTTTTTTTTTAATTAATTTTGATTATAGGGGTGCCTGGGTGGCTCATTCGTTAAATGTCTGCCTTTAGCTCAGGTCATGATTCAAGGGTCCTGGGATAGAGCCCCGCATCGGGCTCCCTGCTCCGCGGGAAGCCTGCTTCTTCCTCTCCCACTCCGCCTGCTTGTGTTCCCTCTCTCGCTGTGTCTCTCTCTGTCAAATAAATAAATAAAATCTTTTTAAAAAAATTGATTATATTAACTGAGTAAATCCTCATAAAGATAGGAAAAGAAAGAAGCGTAGAATTAAGATTATAGCATGACTATTTACAAAACTGGTAATTAGAAGATTATATTACTTAAGAGCTGAACAGTGCTAAAAGATGATCGAGCTATTCCCTCATTTATAGGTGAGGAAATTAAGGCCCAGAGAAATGAAGGGGCCTATATGTCCACAGTTACTTAAAGCCAGTATTACATTGTAGAACTTCAGACTCTAAATCAACTGCTTTTCCTCCTCAGAATAATAGAAATGACAGCAATATTTATTGGGCATTCATTTGTGATAGGCATATTAAACTAAATTGAGAGGTAGAGAAAGCAATGTCTTCCTCCACAGTTAATCAGGAGTTAAATATTTTTGTGAGTACTGTAGTACTTTATTTCTGAAGATCTATCATACTTTTAAAACCCATTTTCATGTTGGTTTCAAATAGGACTTTTTCTTTTCATTTGTAAAACTGTTGTTTGTGTTTTGTGTTTGTTTTTAATCTTAAAGATGGCCAAACCAACTTCTAAGAAGTGAGTCTGGGAGGAAAAAGATATAGCTACATGATAGGGGAAAACCTGTATTTACATTCAAATTAACTTTTTTTTAAAGTATAAGAAGAATATTTAAATCATGCTGTGTAGCCTCATGGTTTTAACCTTGTCTTAATAACTTGAAACTTGAACAAAATGGAGAATATGTTACTTGCAGGTAAAGGGTTTTGTTAATCATCCTGGTAACAGTTTCTCTTTCCTGCAGACAGGGATGTTTCATATAATCATGATCAGTTTCCTGTATCCAGTTTAACCAAGGAAGAAGAAAATGTTATTTATACGTATAAGAAAACTCTCAAATTAATTCCATATGATCTATAAGTAGGACTCTAAGCATCATCACTGTTACTTCACACTAGTATTTCCTGCATTCCTTGAATAGCAGCAGAATCTAAAAGAATTGAGAGTCCCCTTTCCCTTTCTAAAACTCTAGAATAGTTGCATTATCATTAATGTAGGCACTCAGTTCTTAGGCAGGTGCACAGACAGAGGATACTCTAAATGAGGAGTTGCTGTTTGTTTGCCTTTTTTATACTTCCTCTCCACTTCCACAATTGGGTTGAAACTTTCCTATTTCCAGGGCACCTGGGTGGCTCAGTCGGTTAGGTGTCTGCCTTCGGCTCAGGTCATGACCCCAGGGTTCTGGGATCGAGTCCCGCATCGGGCTCCCTGCTCAGCGGGGAGCCTGCTTCTCCCTCTCCCTCTGCTGCTCCCTCTGCTTGTTCTCTCTCTCTCTCTGTCAAATAAATAAGTAAAATATTAAAAAAAAAGAAACTTTCCTATTTCCTTCTTTCCAGATATGATGCAGATATGGATAGGACATTATAAGATAACAGTATTCTGAGAATTAAAGAAATATTTTTAAATTTGTTGAACTTTTTAAGAAAGATTTTAAAATTGTCTATAATTTATCTGCTCACCAAGCAAATATTTATTGAGTAAATACCATGTGCTATTCATTATAGTAGGCACTGAAGGCATAGATAGGTAGATAGACATACTGACTTTGTAGATCTTAAGTGCTTAAATTCAGCACTTAAGATGGAAAGATAATCATGAATAAGTTGATCTTACTGTTTTTTGCAATATATTAGTAGAAATCAAAATTTCATGTATGATAGCAGTAGCTATCAGTTGTATATAAAAGTGTGCAAAAGTTCAAAATAGTCTTCACAAATAACTATGACATTTTGTAACTAATTTTTAAAAGAGTTGACATGCAAAGTTTCTTCTGGAAAAGTTAGAGTGCCAACTACTCCATCATTAGCCCTACTCTGCAGACCCCAAGGCCTCTAGTGTTTCCAGGATAGGCAAATGATGTACCACTGATGGAATTCCTAGTAGAGGGGAGTCTGAGAGGTGATCTGTTCCCAGTCCATGAACTGAATGATCCTAGATAGCTAGGCCACTCCAAATATCAAACATTGGGGGTGCAGATCCACCAAGACTTATGTGATTGAAAGGCCCAAGTGGAAGTAGAATATCTAGTCATTTCCTTTGAGTACATCTGATTACCAAGAATGGATAAGGTGTCTTGAGTTTCCCAGGAAGCTCATCCGAATCACAAACCAGCAAACCTACAAGCTGAACTTAGTCCTTAGGCATATTTGATTTGGCCTACATTTTCTTATTTTTAACTGATTGCCAACTAAGAGTTATGAAATTTTGAAAGAATTCAGTTTCTGACTTTCCTTGAAAAATTAACGAAATGTAGAAGCTAGAGCTACATTGGATCCACATTCTCACATGCCAGCAGCTGGCCGGAGCTGAGCGGCAGGTGCCCCATTTTGAAAGGGGAGGAGTTCTCCAATAGACTACAGTCTTCACGACCTTCTTCTTTCTTACACTAAGCCCACTCCATATTCTTGATTTTGAAATAGTTTGCTTAAAATTTCAGATCTGAGAATATGTGGGCTCTAGAGTTTTCTGCTCTCGACTTTACTAATTCCTGGGACAGGATGTTCAAAAGCTTGTTTTTTGCCACGCTAACACACTCAGGAGACTATATAATTTCCTTCTATGCAAAACAGCATCCTCACAGCACACCTCAAGCTGTAGCAGTCGACCTACTAAAGCAATGTCTCATTTTACCTCCTAAAGCAGTGAAAAAGGGAGAATGAGACCAGATAGATTTAATTTCAATTTTTTGCTACTTTGATAATCACCAATTACTAGTTTTTAATACTTTTAACTGTTTAAAATGACTGCCAAGAAAATTTTCAAAAGCATTCTTTATGGTAACTATGGAACTATTAAAAAAGGGCTTTTTATGTGATGATAATTCGTTTTATGTATTATAAATGGCTGACAACGTATTCTTTTCAATTTCTCTTCACTTCTGCATCTGTTTTTTAGTAATGGGTTATTGGATTTTAGTAAAATACTGATCCTTTTATTTCTTCTTTCATCTTGTGAATACATTTGTTCTTTTATAGGTGGCAGTAGCAGGCACCATCCTAATTCAGAATATTGGAGGTAAGAAACTGAAAGTGCACTGCTTATGCATAAATGTGATGGCAGTGATTTCTTCCTTTTGTTTATTGCCTTACTACAGGTCTAGCTGGGAACCTGAACCTCTGCACACATAGATATCTTCAGAAACCTTCAGCGTTGTCCTCATTACTCTCTTTTTTTTAAGATCCTTTTTATTAGCAGTCCTTATAAGACAGTAGCTTCTAAATTTAGTTTCAGGTAAATCCTTGATTTCAGTCTTGTTATTAGGTCTGCAATACACCTCTAAAGCATTGGCTTTCTGTACTTGTGATAGTGGTAAGGTACAGTTCGGAAAGATTCTCCAGGTGATTCTGAAGTATTTCCCCTCTACTTTTGTCCTCATTATGGCATTGGTATATACTGCTTCAGAGGGAGTGACGTTTCCTGGGCTGTGAACAATCTGGTGTAGATAAGCAGTGTCCTCTTATAACCAAGAAATTTAAAACGACAAGGTAGTTTAAAAAATAAACGAACCTGGGGCGCCTGGGTGGCTCAGTTGGTTAAGCATCCAACTCTTGATTTTGGCTCAGGTCATGATCTCAGGGTCATGAGATTGAGCCCTGCATTGGTCTGTGTGCTGGGTGTGGAGTCTGCTTAAGATTCTCCCCCTCTCTCTGCACCCCTACCCTCTCTAAAAAATAAAAAAATAAATACGTAAGTAAATAAATAAACAAACCTGAAGCAAATAAGAACCGTTCTCACATTTATCTTGTATCTTGTTTTCATTAAAAAAGATCCCAATATCCAGAACCATGTAGAAACAAAAATTACTGTTAATTATAGACAGTTACTAACTAAATGTATTAAACATTTAAATCCAAAATATGGGAGTCATGTTTGTATATGTTGTAAAGAAGTTATATAGTGCTGGGGCGCCTGGGTGGCTCAGTCGTTAAGCATCTGCCTTCAGCTCAGGTCATGATCCCAGGATCCTGGGATCGAGCCCCGCATCGGGCTCCCTGCTCGGGGGGAGGCCTGCTTCTCCCTCTCCCACTCCCCCTGCTTGTGTTCCCTCTCTCGCTTTGTCTCTCTCTGTCAAATAAATAAATAAA